AAGGTGATAATTTTAAATTAAATAAACTTTTTATTGGTGAGTTTGGTATGTATATTCGTAAAAATATCAAAATTCTGCCGTACTTAATAATTTTTCATTCATTTTTCTTTCAACATTGGAGTGTGCAGTAAAATTAAAATGTTTTGGATTAGTACTTTAGCCACTTCTACATATTTACATTAATTTATCTTATTTTTACTTTCCTATCTGTATACAGATATAAGGAAAGTATAGGAATCATGATTTTTTTCGACCTCGAGTTTTCGACGGATTTTTACGTTTTGAGGTCCCCTGAATCCGTTTTGACTATTTTCGCGATGATGTCTGTGTGTGTGTGTGTGTGTGTGTGTGTGTGTGTGTGTGTGTGTGTGTGTGTGTGTGTGTGTGTGTGTGTGTGTGTGTGTGTGTGTGTGTGTGTGTGTGTGTGTGTGTGTGTGTGTGTGTGTGTGTGTGTGTGTGTGTGTGTGTGTGTGTGTGTGTGTGTGTGTGTGTGTGTGTGTGTGTGTGTGTGTGTGTGTGTGTGTGTGTGTGTGTGTGTGTGTGTGTGTGTGTGTGTGTGTGTGTGTGTGTGTGTGTGTGTGTGTGTGTGTGTGTGTGTGTGTGTGTGTGTGTGTGTGTGTGTGTGTGTGTGTGTGTGTGTGTGTGTGTGTGTGTGTGTGTGTGTGTGTGTGTGTGTGTGTGTGTGTGTGTGTGTGTGTGTGTGTGTGTGTGTGTGTGTGTGTGTGTGTGTGTGTGTGTGTGTGTGTGTGTGTGTGTGTGTGTGTGTGTGTGTGTGTGTGTGTGTGTGTGTGTGTGTGTGTGTGTGTGTGTGTGTGTGTGTGTGTGTGTGTGTGTGTGTGTGTGTGTGTGTGTGTGTGTGTGTGTGTGTGTGTGTGTGTGTGTGTGTGTGTGTGTGTGTGTGTGTGTGTGTGTGTGTGTGTGTGTGTGTGTGTGTGTGTGTGTGTGTGTGTGTGTGTGTGTGTGTGTGTGTGTGTGTGTGTGTGTGTGTGTGTGTGTGTGTGTGTGTGTGTGTGTGTGTGTGTGTGTGTGTGTGTGTGTGTGTGTGTGTGTGTGTGTGTGTGTGTGTGTGTGTGTGTGTGTGTGTGTGTGTGTGTGTGTGTGTGTGTGTGTGTGTGTGTGTGTGTGTGTGTGTGTGTGTGTGTGTGTGTGTGTGTGTGTGTGTGTGTGTGTGTGTGTGTGTGTGTGTGTGTGTGTGTGTGTGTGTGTGTGTGTGTGTGTGTGTGTGTGTGTGTGTGTGTGTGTGTGTGTGTGTGTGTGTGTGTGTGTGTGTGTGTGTGTGTGTGTGTGTGTGTGTGTGTGTGTGTGTGTGTGTGTGTGTGTGTGTGTGTGTGTGTGTGTGTGTGTGTGTGTGTGTGTGTGTGTGTGTGTGTGTGTGTGTGTGTGTGTGTGTGTGTGTGTGTGTGTGTGTGTGTGTGTGTGTGTGTGTGTGTGTGTGTGTGTGTGTGTGTGTGTGTGTGTGTGTGTGTGTGTGTGTGTGTGTGTGTGTGTGTGTGTGTGTGTGTGTGTGTGTGTGTGTGTGTGTGTGTGTGTGTGTGTGTGTGTGTGTGTGTGTGTGTGTGTGTGTGTGTGTGTGTGTGTGTGTGTGTGTGTCTGTATAACGCATAACTCATGAACCGATACACGGAAAAACACCAAATTTCAAACTTAAGCTGCTTTGTTCCAGCGTCTTATGAGCTGATTAGATTTTGGGCAGAGTCGGAACATCTGGGGGGGTACTTTATAGGTGGTCATTTTTATATTTCATGGAATATATCTATTATTTACGTTTGAAGAAGAAAATTCTTCAAATAAAAGTTACTTTTAATATAATTATCTATAATTTTTGTTCTATGCAAAATTTTCCTAAAATGGTCCGTATTCGAGATATTTGAGAAAATGTGTAAATTTCGAATTTTGAAGAAAACTCAAAAACGGATAAAGAAAAAAACATTAAATTTTAAACTTAAGGTTTATTTCGGCCTGACGTGAAATGATTAGATTTTAGACATAGTCGGAACATCTGGGGGGGTACTTTATGGGAGGCCACTTTTATATTTTATGGAATATATCTGTTATTAATGTTTGGAGAAAAAAATTGTTCAAATAAAAGTTTCTTCTAATATTATTATCTATAATTTTTGTTTTTTGTAAAAATTTCCTGAAATGGTCCGTATTCGAGAAATTTGACAAAATGTGCAAAATTCTGAATTTTATGAAAGTTTTTGAAATAAAAGTTGTTTGCGATATCGATCTCTATAATTTTTGTTTATACATGATTTTTCTAAAATGGAACGTAATGAAAAAATTGTAGGAAATTTTAATTTTTCAGTATTTTCGTTTTCCATGAATATCTATAGAAGAATGTTTCGAGGTAGATGTATGTGGACAATGTATATATTTAGTTTATCCTCTAAACATTTATAGAGAAGCTGCAATAGGTTGTACAAAATAACCGGAAAAGCCTATAATAACTAGATAGGAAAGTCATGTGTTGGACACATCAGATTTTTATTGTAAGAATATTGCTCCAGAACGAAAGTGTAACAAAAAAACAGAAGCATATGATTCAATTAATTTTGAATTTATATTCATAATTTACATAATACTACAGAAATTGTTGAAAATGTTCATTTACATCCATACACAAAGCAACTCTTTTTCATAATCGAGCAAAAACGTTATGCAACATCTGCACTACAAGAGATTCTCCTTGAGGGTCATGAAAATTCTTGCAATGAGCCTTTTATTTAAATGGTATGCTAAAAAGGGAATGGCCTTCTCCCAAAATTTGACCTAAATCTGCCCTTACTGCAGTGAGTTTTTAATGTCTACACACTTTTCTGTCAATCAATTTTTCAATTCTTCCAAAATATGAGTTGATGTTGAAAAAAAAAAATAGAATTTTTTAATTGGCAATTTGGTATTGCATAATTTAAGAAGTATATAAAATTATTCAGGAAGAACAATTATTGTTAAACTTGGCAATATTTTATCAAAACACAACCGGAATAAGTAGAAATAATTTAAATAATGTTAAAAAACTTTACTGATACAAAGAAAACTTAATTGTTCCAACAGTTCATAATAAGTTTCATTCATACAAAAGTTTTTAATCTTATAAAATAAAGGAACTGAGCTATTTTGAATTATATATGATTCTAAATTAATATTACTTACAAACAGTAATCATACTTAAGTCGAATATGAATTCACATATAAATTAATATTATTAAATATGTTCTTTTGATAAAAAGTTTACTGGAAATACTTAGAATGGATCCTTGTTACAAAATAGGAATACAATTCATGCCTAGGAAAGTCTAATCCATAGATATAGACCCAAATCTTGATAGCTAGGGGTGAATTTATAGTTTGATGCAGACTCTACCTCTGGTCTTAAAAACAAAATATTTATTTATAATCTTGAACATTAAAATTTGTACATAGATAATGTTGATTAGCGTAAGTGAAAGAGTTTTCTAAAGTTTTACAATTCGAAATGCCCTGATTCTAAAAAAAAAGAAATAAAACCACGAAAAAATAGGTCAATAATTTTGAGAAATGTTTTACCAGATTTGGTAAAAGATCATAGATTAAGACAAAGATATTTTATGGTTTATGTAAATAGTCTTATTGTGATTAAAAAGACTTTTAATATAAAAAAGTGTTGAAAGAAAAACTACAAAAACATTTTCAAAATATGTTAAATCATCCTTGTATGTGGTTTTTGACATCAAATTTATGAAAAAATACACCTTAGTTGGCTGTGAAATACAGGTTTAATAAAAGCAATTTACGTGGAAATTGAATGAAGTCTTTAAAAAGCTGCTGCATAGTGAACATCTAATAACTGATATACCACTGTTGTTAATAAAGAACATCTATATTACCTTGCAGAGATAAAGCCACTGATTGTATGAAAAACCACAAAGCGATTGAAATGACGGACAGTGCAGAATACTCCAATCAGAAATACAGATGGCAGCTGGACTAGAAATAATATACAAAAGAAATAGATTTGCAGAGCACATACAAAATACCTTCCAACTAAATAAAGGAGAAGAATTACCTAACTAGAATCTTTCAGACCAAACCCTCCAAAAGAAATTGCACAAAATTTATAAACAAATATTGATCCTAAGAACTCAGCGGTTGAGTGTCAACCGAACGCGTCTCCGTGTGGTGGATAGATCGGTCAAGTTTTCCTTGGTTAGTGGTAGACATAAGTAGAGTGCGAGAGCCTAAAAACCCTTAAAATCTTTTGCGAAGGCAACCGCCGCGAACCAACTCCCCCAATCTAAGATGTAAGGTAACGTACCGACGGATGATTTGTCGCAGGGGCAGATGCGACAGCAAATGCTTCCCTGAGGGAACCTGGCGACAACCTCTGCGTCGGTCTACCTCTCCTTCCATAGCTACTTGTGGGAACCATATGGATTCAACACAAAAACAACCCAAAGAGGCTAGACGTCACCGCTCACCTCCAGCAAAGGAGACTGGACACCAAAGTCCAACTTCGGCGCAGGAGGTTGAACAGCGACGATCACCTCAAAAAAAGGAGGATGGATGTCAACACTCACCTCCTGCAAAGGAGCCTTGACAACAAAGTTAAGCTCCTGCACAAGGGTTGAACAGCGACGCCCACCTTTAAAAAAGAGGATGGACACAGTAGTTTACCTCCAACTAACAGGCCTCGAAGTGTCAAAATAATCTTGGGATCTGAAGCAAAGAGGAGGAAGAGGGATAGGCTGCAGGCAGGCAGTGCTACGGCAATCGCCACCTTCAGCAAACTCCCTCACTCTAAACAAAACAAAAGCGGCCTAATCAAGTCCCTTGACAGCGACGCTAGTTTTGTCTCCATAAAAGGCCAGGAACACGAAGCAACTAGGAACAAGAAAATGTTGCGATCTCACACCTCTTCCGAGTTAATGCCCCGGAAGGACAAAAAACCAAAGCAGGACCACAAAGTTTTGTCTGGCATAAGCTACAAGGATGCAGCTACAAGCCACCTGAAAGTAGCTCTAATAGACAAGGATAACCCATACGGTAAGATAATTACCGAAAAATAAATCTTTGTCAAAACGATACTGATGGGAGAGCTGGACAAAATAATCTTGTCCGCCTCCTGCAGCAAAACCAAGCCAACCAAATTCAGGTTTTGGTCGCACTCTGGTCAAATCATCAGAGTAAACTGCGACGATGACTTGACGTTGTAACGACTAAAAACCAAGGTACCTACCTTAAAAACATGGGAAGGAGAAACACTTAGAGTTGTACGGATAAACGAGGTCTCCAAGCTCACCAAAGCTTCTCTCTGGATCCCTGCAGAAGCGCAAGCTGACCTTGACGAGAAAGAGGTTGTGCTGAGGTGATTTGAAAACTTAAAACTCAAACTTGCATTTGGCGAAATGGTGCTTTTTTCACGATCAAATTAAAAAAGGACCCTTTTCCCCTCAATTTAGGCCAACAGTAAAGGACGTCGAGCCAGAAAAAATGGCAATCGATGACCTCCAGCAAGAAAACCCCGAAGGGTCACAATAGACCACCCCCTCCCCACTTTCGGAGGAAGGGATGGTCGAATAAATAACTACGGCTACGGCAACATTATGTCGCCGCCTTGATGAGCTGCAAGATATAATAGCACTTATCCAGGAACCCTGGATAATAAAAACCAAAATTTTAGGTCCTAAAAATCTAAATGGTTCAATTTTTAGCTTTCCCAGCAACCAACAATCTAGGACAGCCATTTTCATTCCTAGGAAATACAAAGCCTACTTAATGGCACACCTTTCCACATTCAATTTAACTGCGGTTAGGATGGAATACGCCATCAAAACGGAAAAGAGAATGTTAATCCTTGCATCTGCATACATCCCTTCCGACGCAACCATACAACCACGCCACCATCCAGCAAAGAGATAGAAGATCTGATTGAATACTGCCTGGAACAGAAGTTTGAGCTGGTAACAGGTTGCGACTCAAACTCCAATCACTTCAGTTGGGGCAGTAAGCATAACAACGCTAGAGGTAAGTCACTTTATTATATATAATATAATATAAGTAAGTTTATTCATTCACATTACAAATGGGGGTATAATATTATAAAATAATATAGAAAATTGAACAAACTATAAAACTGCATAAGCATAAGCTTGTTTGCAGATAAATACGAGAATAAATTGTTATATACATAATATAGAATATGAACATTTAAAATAAAGTAAAATAAAAATTAACAATTGAAAAATAAAGTTTATGATTTAAAGTTTGGATTAAAGATTTTACATATTTTTTTTTTCTTTTTTCTTCTCTTTTTTTTTTTTCTTTTTTTTTTTTTTTTTTTTTTTTGTAGACAAAAGTAGATTAGAATAAAATATTGAATTCAGTTGAGTACAAAGTATAAAGAGGTACATAATTTTAGGATATTTGTTAATGTTTAGATAGCTATTATTTTTAATTTTTTCTTCCTAAAGTAATTATTCCAACAGATCTGTAATGAACTTTATACCACTCTCTGAGACATATTTGTTTAATTTTTTTTTAAATTTGTAATTGTTGTTTATTTCTTTTATATCTTCAGGTAGTCTATTATAAAATTTGGGACCGACAAATGCATAAGAACGCTGTCCAATAGCTTTTTGCATGAGAGGTAGTATTTGAAACTGCTTTTGTCTGGTATTGTGGTCGTGTATTGGAAATATATATATATTTTTTTTGTAATGATAATGCGTAACAATTTTTTTGTAATAAAGTTGCCTCACTTTAAGAACCTTGGAAATATTAAACAGTTCATCTGAAGGAAATCTTCGATTTTTTTTATAGATAATTTTTAAGTGATATTTTTGCAAAACTTGAAGAGGGTGAATATAGGTTTTTAATGCTCCTCCCCAAGCTGCAAGTCCATATCTAATATGGCTCTCAATTAGGGAGTAATAAAGAATTGTTAGCTGATTAAGGGTTAATACATTTGTTAAGTATCTAAATTTAGATAAAAGACTTCTTAATTTTTTGCAAACGTATTTTATATGTATATCCCATTTCATATTCGAGTCCAGGAAGACTCCTAGATATTTAACTGCATTCACTGCATTTATTTCATAGGAATTGTTAATGGCATTTATCTTGAGTTGGCTGAATGTGGGTGAAGTCAGATTATTACAATAAAATGGCAAATAGCAAGTCTTTTCAACATTTAAAGTTAATATTTTATATTTTAGCCATTTATGTATTTTTAGAAAATCTGATTCAGCGGTTTCTTTAAGTTCTAGCCAAGTATTCGCAGTATATAAAATGACGGTATCGTCAGCAAAACCAATAATATCACCCCTAGTGTCGATGTTAAATAAATTGTTAATATAGATGTTGAACAGAATGGGACCGAGGACACTTCCTTGGGGTACACCAAATTCGATGGGCAATTTTTCACTATAAATTTGATTAATTCTCACAACCTGGGATCTGTTTTCTAGGTAACTTTTGAATAGGTTGTTACTGACACCACGCACTCCTATTTCTTCAAGAGAATCTAATAGCAACTGATGACTTACTGTGTCAAAAGCCTTCGAAAGGTCGAGAAATAATCCCAGACAAGGTTTACTAGTATCTAGCGCATAATATATTTTCTCGGTAAGTGACAAAATAGCATCTTCAGTTGAAACGTTTTTTTTAAATCCAAACTGATGCTCAGACAAAATATTGTATTTGGTAAGGAATGAATGCAGTCGTGATTCTATGACCTTTTCGAAAACCTTTGACAGTGTAGTTATCAATGAAATTGGCCTGTAGTTGGTTACAGAAGTTTCATCTCCTTTTTTATGAATTGGTGTTACAACACTGTTTTTGAAACAAAATGGCCATTTTCCATATTCCATACATGTATTAAATATGAAACTTAATGGTGATATTATAAAAATTGATATTCTCTTTAAAGTTTCCTCTCGAATCCCGTCACAACCTGGAGATTTACTCAATTTAAGTTTTTTTATTATTATAATATAATATAATTACCAAAAGTCTTTGTATTTTAAATAAAGGTACCACACCAACATTTTTAAACTCTCGCAGTCAAACACTAATAGATATAACTTTATCCAGAACTGGTTTAAATAGGTGAATCAATTAATAACATTTCGATGTGGGACCACCGCTGGTTAACATTCAAAATATACTTGATGTTGTCGACCTTCACGCTATCTCGGAACCCTAGGAAGACGGACAAGGCAGCCTATGCCCATCTCCTCCAAGGGGCTCTGGAGAAGTACTCGAACACTATTCAAAACACAAACAATGCCTATAAGAAATCCTGTGTCGCTTATTCATAGACTCTTCAAAATATAGTTTAAGAGCTATTTTATTACACAATAGAAATAGGAAACCATTTATACCAATAGGACACGCAGTAAATTGTAAAGAGAGCTATAAAACAAAGTGTACTTTAATTAATTTAATAAAATATAAAGAATACCAATGGAAAGTGAGAGGCGACCTCAAGGTTATCGGTTTTTTATTGGGATTGTAAGGTAGTTACACAAAATACTCTTGTTTCTTTTGTTTGTAGGACAGTAGAGCAAACCAACATCATTACATAAGAACAGAATGGCCTATTCGGAATGAGTATATTCTGAGCAAAATGAATGTTAAACACGAGTTGTTGGTAAATCCAAATAACATCACTCTACCCCCTTTACATATCAATTTGACAAAAACAGTGATGCTTTCCGGTATTTACAAAAAAGATTTCCAAGCATTACAGAAGCAAAACTGAAAGAGGGTATATTTGTTGGCTCACAGATCCGTAAAATTATGAAAGATTCTCAGTTTAAAATCCTTTTATTTCTTAAAAAAAAAATCTGCTTGGAGGTAATTTAAAATTTTTGGGAAATAAAAAAAAGTGAAAATTAAAAAGAAATTATTACCGATTTTTTGGAAAAATTTTTAATAGATGGAAGTAAATATGTGATTAAAGATTCATTTTTCGCACTCGCATCTGAGTTTTTCCCTGAAAACTTAGGAAGTATGAGTGACCAAAAAGGAGAACGTTTCCACAAAGATTTGAAGGTTTTTGAAGGACATCAAGGATTTTGGGATAAAAACCTGTTAGGGGATTACTGTTTGTCAATTATAAGAGAAACTGATTCAAATAAATACAAAAAGAAGGCTAAAATTAATCATTTTTAATTTTTTTTTTTGTATTAATTCCAAAATTATGTAATTAAGTTAAGTATATAAATATTTCTTAAACCATTATTTTTTCTGGATGATTCTACTTAAATAAACAATAAATTAACAACTTTCAGCTGGGATATAAAAACTGTGTAAATTAGTGAATTATTATTAACAAAATTCAATGAACGTAATTGGAAAAAAACGTCAAGAGACACAGAAATTATTTTTGAAATTTATATTTTCTATTATGGAACGAAACCCGTTGAAAATTAAGAAATTAACATTTATCATAATGTAAGCGGCTTCCACTAATTGGATGTAAATATGTTATATTACTATTAAAAAAAATCTAAATCAAATATTGATTTATTAAAAATATAATTATAAAACCTTCTTATCTCCAAACAAGGCGGATGACAATTTTGACAAATTTTACCCATAAATTCTAAAAATTCCAATAAATAAATCATTAACAGTGAATTACCGTGAAAATATTACTTCATAAATAATCTTAATCTAAAGATTGATTACAAACATGCAGTCCATAGGAACGTGGGCGATGGATGCTATTTCAATTTTTTTCAGTTCTGGAAGATGGAATTTCTAACGGATTTGAAAATATCTTATTCGAAATTAATAGGAAGAATAGAAGAACCTATTAAGCCATCTTCAGGCTTGTTTGTAAAGTTTAAATACCGTTTTATAATTCCCAGGGGGCTGGTGGAATTTTAAACCGTCGAAACGTCGGATATATTAGTATTTTCAATCGTGAAAGTAAGTTAAAGCAACAAATTAATTATGTTTGTATTAGATCACATTTGAGAAATGTTTATGCCATTTAATTAAAGAAATATTAATATAGTCAATATAAGACAGGTAAGGTCTAAGGCAGGCCTGCACGACTCACATTTTCGAAGGGCCAGTTTAAAAAACCGTAGGTGTACGAGGGTCACGGTTGTATTTTTTTTTTGCGGGGGGGGGGGGGGCGGGGTGTAGGCAAAGGATTTTCGCAGGTGCAACACTTAAATATGTTGATCTTGAAGTTCAAAAAAAT